TAGTAGGTAGTAGGTAGTAAGTAAGGTAAGGAAGAGAGAGAGAGAGAGAGAGAGAGGAGAACGGAGGAAGTTCGAGAAGGCTTCCGCTACAGCAAAAGGCAAAAGCCCTGCCTACCAAACACAAGTTGGGAAGGAAACGGCGGAGTCGCCGTCGTTTTAACGGCGCCGGCGCCTCCGCCTCCGCCACCTGTCACCGATGGCTTCTTCCCTCTCATCTAACTGCAGATATTAGTAGACGCCAAGCGCACGCCCAGATCTGTACTCTCTTCTACTTCCTCTTCTTCTTCGTCTCCCTAACCCTAGTAGAAGAAGAAGAAGGCGAAGGGGTATAAACTCTAGTAGAGGGAGAGGGATAGAAGGATGCGCGGTTACGTGACGCTGCCGATTGTGATCGTGCTCGCGGCGATCGTGTACATCTACTGCACCACCGTGTTCGTGGTGATCGACGGGTGGCTCGGGCTGTCCACGGCGGCCGGGATCGCTAACGCCGGCGCGCTCACGGCGCTTACCCTGATGGCGGTGGTCACCTATGGGATGGCCGTCTTCAAGGACCCTGGCCGCGTCCCGGCCTCCTTCGCACCGGATATCGAGGACCCCGAGAGTCCCATCCACGAGATCAAGAGGAAGGTACCCATCTTCCCTTTTGCTCGTCGAGTATTGCTGATATTCCTGTGGTTTAATAGTTATTGTTATTTATTTCGGTCAAAATGGGTTCGTTTGGATGATCTGATGGATCTGAGCTCAATGTGGCAATAAAGATGATGTCTTTTATTGTGACTTGAAGAAGGGATGTCCGATCTATTCTTATTTGGTTACAAAAAAAAAAAGGTTTCTTTGATCATTTTCCATATGCTATTTATTGTCGATAGAGTTATTATTGACCTTTGAGCGTTCCTTAGTTGTTGATAATTTTGTAACTGTTTAGATTCATCAACTCGGTCAAGGTTCATTCCGAAGAGAGGAACTTAGAAATTACATCTTTGGTATATTAGATATCGGCATTTTGGTGTGACCTTTTGCTTTGCCTGGATTATCCTCGTGATCTTCTATTTTGGGCCACTTATGTTTTAGTTTCTGGATGGAGCAGTTCAAAGTGTTTTGAGTTATTATTATCTTCTTAAATGGATTAGTTGATTCACTCCGTAGACGTCAGATACAGACTATCAGAGAATAGATCCAGTATGATGAATAGAATAAGATCTGAGTTATCCAATTGAAAACAAGTATTAATGCCATTGTGATATAAAAGAACAAAATTCATAGAATAAGATCCAGTTTCTCTATGCTTCTTTTGGTTCGCCGAATTGGTACGCTATTATGTACAATATTACAGTTGTGCTTTGGATAGGTTTAACTTCCTACAGGTATATTGCTGAGAGATGAATGTTCTGCCCACAATTTCTTGAGGTTTGACTGGAAAGAGAACATTGGAGACCTAAAACATTATATCAGAATATGATAAAAAGATATTTGATTGCTCTTAAGTCCTGACTGCTGTTGTTGTCCTCGTTAGAGTTCAATAGCATGGGCGGATCCATGTAGCTGGTCCCAAATTATCACGGCCATATGATGTTGTTATTATCAGAAACTTTTCTAAGCTACAAGTTTGGTATTTGCGTTCCAAAAGGAAGAAGTTAATTATCAGGTTAGTGATATATGTTCCAGCATTTGATATCGCTAATTTTCAGGGCGGCGATTTGAGATACTGCCAGAAGTGTTCACATTATAAGCCCCCACGTGCGCATCATTGTCGAATTTGTAAAAGATGTGTTTTAAGAATGGTATGTTGACTGTTTTGTCGTTTCACATTTTAAAACTTTGTTTGCTTTTGACTATTACTCTTTACTGTTTTCAGGATCACCACTGTGTCTGGATAAACAACTGTGTAGGGCATGAAAATTATAAGATCTTCTTTGTTTTTGTGCTGTTTGGTGTGTCTGCCTGTATCCATTCAATGGTATAACATTCATTTCGTTTATGTTATTAGTGAACATGGAACTTATCGGTGGTCAGAATGACAAAAGGTTTACATCGTTTATGCTTTTATAGGTTCTTCTTATTTCTAGTGCTTCTCATGCTCTTCAAAAAGATCAACAGCAGAATGGTGAATCTTTCAATAAATCTTATGTGAGTGACTTGTAACTACCTAACACACTGTTCCGTAAGAGAGATGACTTAGTTTTTGGATCAATTTGACAGATCCTTTGTGGGACTCTGCTGTGTCCTTTAACTGTCGCATTAAGCATCCTTTTGGGTTGGCACATTTACCTTATCCTGCATAACAAGACCACAATCGAGGTATGAAGGTTCTCATTTTTTTGAAATAATTAATGATCTTATAGGGCACTTGATTTCATTTTGCTTCTTCTGCAGTACCATGAAGGGGTAAGAGCTATGTGGCTTGCAGAAAAAGTAGGAAATGTTTATCGACATCCATATGACATTGGTTTCTACGAAAATCTAGTCTCGGTAAGGGGGATGTTTCTTGCTTAAGGTTGCAGTCGCTCTTTCTTCGTTTCAGCGGCTTTGAGAATTTTTCGGAACTCGATATATGTTGATTTCAGTTCCTGCCCACAGGTGCTGGGACCAAACTTCTTCTGTTGGTTCTGTCCAGTATCAACGAATATAGGTTCTGGTCTCCGGTTCCGGACTGCATATGACATTCCGACATCCAGATCACCAATTTGATATAAACACGGCAAAGATATGCAAAGTCCTAAAGATAGAAAAATGTCAAGAGCTAGCTAGATGGCAATGGCATGGGAACTCTCATTGGTGCTGCCGGTCTAAAGTTATCCGGCAGGGGTTCCAACTTTCAGGTTACAGGTGTGAGAGGAATGCGAGCAGGTTATGCTTCCAGTAAATCATGGGATTTGTAATCCTATGTTGTGCACAGACCATAATAAGATGTATAATGCTGTAATTTAGTATATTTGTGTTCTTCCTCAGGTAGTAAGTAGTACGGAAACTCCTACTGATCCATAAGGCTGTAAACTGTGCAGTTGCTGATTAATGCTAACATCTCCTTTTGCAATTTTACATGGTTCTTTACTTTGATATACTGCAACTTGTCTCACTCATGATGGGAGGGAAGATGGCATTTTCAGTAATTTTCCAGAGTCAGTTTCCAGTGTCTCAATTTTACATTATTTTTCTTCTTCTTCATCATCATCATCATCATCATATGTTGACCTGCTGTTGACTAATACTCCGCAGGAAATTGCAGGGGCAGCTCTTGTCGGGTTTGCTCTGCAAGCCTAATTCCATCTCGGATCTGGATTCGGATCCAGATCCGAAACGAGTCACTCCGCCCCCGCTTTCTACAATATCAATTAAGTTTTTTTTTTCTCCTTTTTTTTTAAAATAATCAATATAGGAATACTCTAATACATTTTTCCTTTTTTTTGTGGTCAATATAAGAAATACGATCAAAATTGTAAATGATGCCATCATCGGCAACCGAAATATATAAGTTAAACCTGAATGAATCCCCAGATTCATGACAGATCTCATGTGCGTGCAATGTCCAGCATCGGTATCTATCACTGTGATGACATGTGTTACTGAGTTGTTCTGTTGAAGAAATGATCCCACTCGTGTTCTCCCCCTCTTCCCGTCAGTGCGTACTTCCAACTCTCCTGTTCGCTGAAATCTGGAACTCTTCCGCCCTTTATATCCTTCACCCTCTGAATCACTCCCTCCACGGTCACATCGAAGGCATCGTTCGTCGTCTCCAGTCTGGTCCTGGGATCTGCGTAAACCAACCTCGGTATCATCCTTATCACCTCTTCTCTCATAGCCATCACATCCTTCTTCCCAAATCTCTCCAACACCTCCTCTATCCTCACCTTCCCATCTCGCACCTCATCCTCCGATATCAACACCGAGTACTCGCTGTGGTTCCTCGGCAGGTGCCACACGTACTGCGCGTAAGCCGACCCCGGGTGGAAGAACACCGGCACGCACCCTGCGACCATCGCATCGAACGTCGACCTCCTCGTGTAGGAGTCCCCTTGCGGCTGCAGGCAGAAGATCGATCGCTGGAACATCCCCATGACGCTGCTCGGCGAGTGGCACTTGCTCCGCCCTTTGTCGCATTCCAACAACTTGCACCGCCGAGACTGCCGGCACTGGCCGATGATCTCGTTGCGAATCGAATCTGTTATGTTCGGCCGTGGGGCGCCCGCGAAGGAGAACAGCCAAGGCCTTCTGATCCTCCTCATCCTCTCTTGCCATTGCTGCACCTCGCTGTCTTTGGAAGGGTGGAAATAGGTGGGATACGGTATTCCGAAATCGTTTTTGTGCCAAGGACTGGATTCGATTACTAGCACGGTCATGTTCTTGCCCTCTGGAATCACCAACAGCTTGCTTCCCCAGTCGTCTTCGTCGTCCGTCAACCTTCTGAAGTCCCATGTGATCCTCCCCGCCACCATGAAATGGTCCCTTCCGCCCATCGTCGACCACTCGGGCCTCGACTTCAGCCACCTGATCAGGTCCCTCGATGTGGCGTCACGCACCGAAGTGTTGTAACCCCACAGGTAGCGGCCGATGTCGAGGCCGGCGTAGAAGGGGACGAAGATGGCCGAGGCCAGGGAGGAGTTGGTGGTCAGGCACTCGTACTGCTTCATTCGGTTGTGGAAGATGAGCTCGAGAGCGAACTGGTTGGTGGCGTACCACTCGGCGCCGTAGAAGACCCCTTCGGCGTTGTTGAGCCGGGGACCCAGCCCGGCGTTTGACACGAAGGGGCACATGTCGGTCCACTTGCTAAGCGTGCGGCAGCTGCTGATCATGTCGGAGTTGAACCGTCCCGGCAGGTCGTGGACGTAGATGTATCGCCCAGAGCATCGATCGACGACCAGCGGCGGCGGCGGCGAGCCCATGGACGGGGAAGCCATGGGCGTGATCATCACCTCCGGCGTTACTGCGCGATGCTTATACCCGAGATTGAATATGAAGGTAAAAGAAATGATGATCAATACGGCGCAAGAAACGGGGATGGCGCACCACAAGCGTTTCCTGGCGTTGCCTCCGTTGCGTCTGTTGCCGAGTGTTGCCATGGTCGACTGTAGGACCGAGCAGCGTCTCCTCACAGAGGATCGTGCGCTGATCGCCGAGGAAGGCTCACCAAATACGTGCGTGCAGCAAATCTTCTTCGGAGGAAGGGGGGATGACGCTTTCAGATACTCAGAATCGGACAATATATAGACTCCGTAATTCACTGAACTATTGTAACTTGGGTTTGGACAAGAAGGGCAGCGTCCCATTCTTTGACAACCTACTTAACACTTTCTTCCCTGATAACCAGCGCCGACGGTAGCTCGTTGTGACTCTCCAGTCTTGGATGGCGATTCTTTTGGTAGGGAGTATTCTTTTGGAGGAAGGGGAGGATGAGAGGACCCCACGCCGGAAGCAACCTTCCCCGGAGTCGGCAACGAGAGCGAGTGGCCGTCATCGAGAAGGAAGACTTCCGCGCTCATCGAGTCAGAGTCACCGTCACCTCGGCGGCGACGGCTTTTGCGACCCAGACCCGAACGTACGCCATCCTCATGCTTGATCTTTGGCATGAGAAACATCAGGCAACGGTGACATGGTGTTGGAGATATACTGGATGGATCACTATCTGCTATCACGGCAAGCAATCTCCCCTGTGACACACTCTTTGCATGATACTCTTTGATTCGCACAAAGAGTAGGAAGCTTTCCGAGCACTACTTACTAGCGGACGTAGCCATCCTAAACGATGTGTGTTTCCTGGCTACAACTTAGGATCGAACGTACATACATAGGTTTACATGTAGGTAACTGAAGTCACATATGCTCCAAGTCAGCACCCACATCAGCACCAAGTAAACTCTCATGTCGGTGTCACATTGGCTCTATATCATTGACCCAATGGATATCACGGTAAGTAGTTTACTAAGGTCAAACACCCTTTCCACTAAATAAGGACAATGTCATGTAATTGGCACCGGCGCTGACGCTGACGTTAGGAGGAGGACTATGATACACAGTAGAATCAATTTACTCTCTTCTTAGTATAAGCAATTAGGAGTCTCTCTTCAACCATCGTGGATGATTTATGTTGCGGGAAATAACTTTTTTAGCCGTAGCCTCGGGGCCGACGCGGCTCGGTTCGGGGGTCCGAATGTCGGGGATCTCGCGCAGTGTCCCTCGAGGTCTCTCGGTGGCCGATCATGGTGGTCCGGTCGGGACGTCGCGTCGGGGGGAAGCTTCGCCGCAGCGCCGGGAAGAAGCGACCCCGTCGTCACACTTGCACACAAGTCAGGCTGGGAGCTGGCCCGAGCCCTCCGACGATCAAGTCAGTGATGTGGAGGGGGTTTTAGATGAGGAAGTGGCTGTGTGTGTGTTCTCCTCCCCCGTTCGTTTAGAACTCTGGGGAATTTATAGGTAAGTTTGATGTTACCTGATGTGCCTGTCTGCAGAAGCATGACCGTACCTCTAATGGCATCTGACATTGCCATCGGGGTCGCGTAGAGAACCGACCTGCCGCAGGGTATGGGCTAGCCTCGGTCATCGTCCTCCTCTGCCTCGGGCGAGCATGTAGGGTCAGGCAACGATGAAGTCGTTGTCTGGAGCGAGTGACGTGGGCGCACATCGGGTCGGCATTAATGCCCTCTTGCTCGGGCAGAGTGTAGCCCGGGCGTGGCTGATGTCGTGGCGCGTCATGCCCCTGTCAGAGGATGTCCTTCCGGTTGACTCCCTCATCAGGTTCAACCATTAACAAGAAGAAAACAAATAGTCATTCCATTTCTCCCTCCCTCGATTAGCTCAGCTGGTAACCCTATAGAACATCTTTGTTTGTCAACGATCTCCCATGACTTCTTTGCCTCTACACGAGCAAAAGCCAAGTGTGGTAAGGAACTCTCGATCAATCTATAGCATATGCGGCCTTGTTAGTAAAAAACGTATCTTAGTATCCTGATACATATATTTTTTCCGGATGGAGGCATAGCAGCAAGTGGCTAATGTAGTCGTCTTCTCGGTTAAATCATCTCTTATTATTCTACCTATTTCGAGAAAAAAACATACACACATGTGGCCTTGACCTAAGTATCTCTTAATGCTTAATGCACTCTGTCTTGATACAAGTATGCCAAGTGTCTGATCAAAGTATCTCTTGATGATATCCAATGCGTACATATTGAACAATACAAAGTATTTGATGCGACATCCTCAACCAAAGCATCTCTTCATCTCGAATAGAAACATTAAGAATGTCCCGTGCATCCTCCTTAACCAAAACATCTCTTGTTTAATGGTCCGGGGGGGGGGGGGGCGGGGTTGGGTAGACACATCGGACCAACCCAAGATGGGACTTGGAATTCTTCTTTGGTAGCACGTGTTTACGAAAGAGAAGGTCGATGTCGAGGGGGAATGCCCAACTCAACCCCTTCTGAAGCCTAAGTTAATTTTAAAAGGATTTGAAAGTATTTTGTCGATGTTCGAGGTCCGATCTCTTGGCATTGGCTAGGGGGTCGATTTTAATACATGTTTTCGGGGGTTGATAACATTGGGATATATGATAACATTGAGGCATATCGATCTAAACTGTGCACGTATCAAGTGTTAGATATAAGAGACGCATGAGACGTTGGGATGTGCTTATTTGGATGGCTCGTGTTGGGAATAAATGTGCAAGGGCATCACAGTGTTCGGACTCGAATGTCATACATTACATAGAGACTGGCAGATGATAGAAATAACGAGGGTATCAAGGAAAGAAGAAGAATCGATAAACATGATATTGAGGTCGTAGAAATTATATGTCACAACTGCAGTGCAACCAGTGTGGGAGGGTAGCACTACGAGAGCAACAAGTGAAGTATGACGACAACGACGGTAGCAACCACCACTACGGTGACAACAATGGCAACGTCGATGGCTGAGGGTAGCACTTCAATAACCAAGGGTGGTAAAAGCGTCAGAGTATGATGGCAATGGCAGCTTGGGCGATAAGGGAGTGAACCAGGTCGACCGCGACGACATTGCCGGTGCACACCCAATCTGTACGCACCGG